AGTGTTTGAGTATAAACATTTCTTGGACTTCTCATAAATTCAACATAGTCTAATAATTCTCATGAACACCCCATTGCTCAAAATATATGGTTTTCGAATCTGCATAATTTAACATGAAGCATTTACATAAACAGCGTGTGCAGAGTGGCTGATTAGTGTTAATGCAACCACATAAATGCAAAATGGTAATGTGGCATTAGAGCATGACACAAAGAGATGTTTTTAAAGGTCTTTAAAGGCCTCTTGAAAAATCTTATGTTTGTAGCTTTTAGTTGAGGCCATTTGCGTTAGTATACTCCTAAAAGATTTAGATTACAAAAAATGTATTATTTCCCCCCTGCATAATTTTGTAGTAGTTAAAAAAGTGCACTATGTCCTGCCTTGAAAAATATATCAAGACAGGAAAGAAAGTCATATTTTTCAAACCATGGAGTGGTTTGTGTCCTAATCCAAACAAATCATTCCCAATTTGCATATCATTTGTGGAAGCCTAATAACCATATCATATACCCTGTCTTCACTTCAGACTGGCTTGAAGGACGCTGCGTTCATATGGAGTACAACAATCATATTTTATACTAATATGCTAACAAGAGTCATGAACCTAAAAAAATGAATGCCATACCTGTTTTATCTTACAACATATTTCACGTATGGTGTTTTTAACATGCTTTTCTCTTTGCCAGATTATTATATTATCATCAACTAGCTGATGTTATCAAAGTGTAAAAAGCCTATCAATATGGCCAGTTCAGCAAAAAGGAAAGAGAGGCAGTGTTATGTTTTGACTAAACTAGTTAAACATCATTGTTTGGCTTGGCATGCAAACCACTTCAGCTATGACTGTATTCACAATACAGCAAATCATTGAGGGCCTTATAGCAATTATAATATACAACACTGGAAAGAAAATGCTAATGAGTTAACTAAAATCGCTGTTTTTGTCTTGTGGCTATGCTATTGAAACTGTATTTTTTAACATTTAGAGATTGTCCCCAGTTTGTTTCCATTGTAAAGTGCCTCAGTGCAACTCAGATTTTTGATTATGTCTTTATCTATTTATGTTAAAGAAATGTGTTCTTTGAAGTCGCAGTGGAACTGAAGCAGCAACAGATCGAAGTGTGAAGTACATCCTAGTGAAATGGGAAATTAAGGAAGAAAAAGATGTGGGGCGGGGACTTGGTTCTATTTATCGGTTGCTGATTGGATGGAGGCAGATCTGAATATGAGCTTGCAGTCAACTAAAAAAAGTGGACGATATGATTGGAGAAGTCCTGCATACATCACTAGCGAGAAGTCTGTCATTTTGGAAGATTGGAAGATTGAGTTAATGACATTTTGATTAAACAGAAAGAAAGAAGGATGTGTGAATTAACTGTTCACAATAATGGTACACTGTATAAAAAAATATAATAAAAAAATAACATATTGGAGTATGTCTTACAAGAAAATACTATTTCAATCGTTCTACCTCAATTTCACATTTAATACAATGGTGATAGTTGCTGTTCCTTTGTAATTATTGGTTAGATTTACTAGCAATTTCTCAGTGAAAAATAAGTTAAAGTAAACCCTACATGATTTATTTTGATATTTATTTATTTACTTACTCATTTGTGACCCTGTACCACAAAACCAGTCATAAGGGTCAATTTTTTGAAATTGAGATTTATACATCATCTGAAAGCTGAATAAATAAGCTTTCCATTAATGCATGGTTTGTTAGGATAGGATATTTGGCTGAGATACAACTATTTGAAAATCTGGAATCTGAGGGTGCAAAATAAATCGAAATATTGAGAAAGTCGCCTTTAAAGTTGTCCAAATGAAGTTGTTAGCAATGTGTATTACTAATCAAAAATTAAGTTTTGATATATTTATGGTAAGAAATTTACTAAATAGTTTCATGGAACATGATATTTACTTAATGTCCTAATGATTTTTGGCATAAAAGAAAAATCGATAAGTTTGACCCATACAATGTATTGTTGGCTATTTCTACAAATATACCCCAGCGACTTAAGACTGCTTTTGTGGTCCAGGGTCACATTTATCTGAACTCAACTTGCCAACTTGGAAAACAGTATTGACCAATCAGCATTCAGGATCACAACTATCTATTTTATAATTGACTGTCTAAACTGTATAACCTTAAATGTAGAAAATGTATGTATTTATTTATTTGAGAAGGTATTGATTGATGCCAAACATATTGTGAAAGCAGGGAATTAATTCTTTTAAATTCTCCGTCTGCATCAAACCAAGCAAACCTCACTTGAACGTCGCTCCGTTTACCCTGTCAACCTAATTTTTCCAAAAAGAGTGCATTTGTTGAGTTCCTGGCCGGAGACATGCTGGGGGCGATATCTGTCTCCCACTGTCAGGAATGGAGCCACGGCGAGTGGGTGGCTGTCGGGCCGCGGCTGTATGCAGAGGTTCCATGTGCCCACGTCTCAGAGTGCTCAGAGACACGCTGTGCTAATGCGTTATCCGTGTGAATGAGCTCACGCTATGCTGAGCAGATAAAACCCCCACACTGACTCATCTGAAGGGAAAAAAACTGCGTTAAAGACAAAAAGAGCGAGAGGAGGGAGGGGGGGGGGGGGGGGGGTGGAGGAGGGCGCTTTAGTGGCTTTGTCATGAATATTCTAATTGGCAGTGTTATTTTTGATGATTATTAAGACTGACCCCGGGGCCCTTAGCAGATCTAATGTAGCAGAAAGAGAACAGCCACAGAAGACTGTTTAGTTCTCTTTCTCTCTTTTTCACTCATCTATTGTCCATTTACAGCCCACAGCATATGTGAATCCATGTTTCTGTATTTGTCTCTGGTGTAGTGTGGATTTAATGTGTTTGTGAGTCTTGTGAATGCAACAAATCCGTTTTGATACTGCCAAGAATGGGTTGTTTACTGGTGATTCAAAACCTATAATCCGATCAGAATTTGATGGAAGATTACTTTGAAAACATGCTAAATATGAACCATGTGTTCATAGTTAAATTTAGCAGCCTAACATAAGCTGCTCTAATCTAAACATTTCAGATTCTATGTGATTTACAGATTTTAATTGAATTTGTGTTTCTCCACAGTAGAAATCCAGTTTTCTAATATCTTGTTTCCCAGGACACATATTTACATATTGAAGTTTGTGCTTCTAGACACTAGACACTAGCTGTTGCTGACTATGGAAATTTTCATAGATGCAAAATAGAAAAGACCAGTCGCAATTAAAAGTGAAGTGAGTGACTTGACATGTGTATGGTATGGTGTCATACTCGGAATGTGTGCTCTGCATTTAACCCATCCAAGTGCACACACACAGCAGTGAGTTGAGAACACACTCACACACACACACACCTGGAGCAGTGGGCAGCCATTTTTGCTGTTGGGGTTTCAGTGTCTTGCTCAAGGGTACCTCAGTCGTGGGTATTGAAGGTGGAAGAGAGCGCTGTACATTCACTCCCCCCACCTACAATTCCTGCCTGTACTGTGACCCACGACTTTTGGGTTACAAGTCCGACTCTCTAACCATTAGGCCACGACTGTCCCCTAAATTCACTATGACCAATCAGATTTCAAATGTAAGTATTATGATACCATTGATGTTGGTGAGCACGTAAGAAACTTTCAAAATTTTTCCTTTACGCTACATCTTGTCTTTCGAAACCCTTATGACTTATAGCATAATGTCCGTTCTACTCTCAGGGAATGGTGACCACAGCTCTCAAAAAAGATTTTAGGTAAATAATGACTTCAGTCTCAGTCAGGAAGGCTTAAGGGTATGTGCTGGGTTACTATGATCACTGCATCCTAGACAACACATTCTTTTTTCTTTGTGACCTTGTTTTTATCTCTATTCAAATTGTGTTTCCATTGTCACTTGGCTAAACGGCATTACAGACAATCCAAAAACATTCCTTAATTCCATGAGGCATCCATTGAATCTGTACAGATAACTACCTTACATAATGCTTTGTTTGTGTTTCTTCCTCTCATCAGGGGTATCGGCCCAGCTTACAAACACCCGGCTAAGGAGGAACACCTCAGTCGGAACGCCCTTCTGGATGGCACCTGAGGTAGGACTGTTGGCAAGTAGTTTGCAAAGCATCGAGGCGACTTTGTTGAGTGCAAATGTTTTTCTTTACTTGGTTTTTCCATAAGATTTCCATATGAGATAGGGAAAGAGGACTACAGCTCTGAAGTTGTTTTGAGAGTCAAAATTTTCATATGACTCAAGGGTAGAGGCTTAAGTGCCTCAATTTGTCCTAGGTGTCAATGCAATCAAAACACAAACAGAGATGTATTATTAGTGCAGACTTCTAAACAGCTGCGGGGAACATTCTGGGTTGATTTCTGGACTAATCGAATGGATTAAATACTAAAGACGCTTGACAGTTTATTTGTGTTTCTGAGGTAAGACCACCTGTATTCCATTTTGTGTTTTTCTATCCGCATAAGGTTTACTGTACAATAGTATAGGTTAATGTAGAGGTCTAAACAGATTTTTTAAATGGAGAAATACTTTTTTTTTTTCACAAAAAGATTTTAATTTGCAGCTCTTTTGCTTTAGTTTTTTTTATATATTTCTCTCATCCCCTGATTAGTCTCTCTCACTTTTTAAAATTATATTTCTATCTTCAATTTTTTTTAAGAATATAAAAATATAAAATCTAAATGCTTTTATTTTGTGTAATATTCTTATGTATTTTCTGTATTATTAAACTATTACTATTCTGCACTATAAGGTTCCAGTTTCAGTTGCTTGTGTAGTACAACATACTGTATGTGCAAAACATAATACAATTATATGGTGGAAGAACACTTTATTTCATAGAATGGACTTACCAGTGTAGAATCTCTTTGAATTTAATTTAATAAAATCCTTTTTCTGTCATTCTAATTCCAAGTCAGTATTCCAACTGCTGAATTGAAAGGGAGCCACTTCTTAAATTCTGAATTTTATCCAACACTGCACATTTAAAAAACTGGCTTTTCTTGACATTTTCTAATTCCATTTCTTAATATAAAAATGTTAAATTGCATTTAATTTGTGTGACTTATTTGCTAGCTAGTTACATAGTCAAGCTGGAAAAAAATAATTTTAATATACATATTACAAAAAAAGGTGAATTCACTGTGCTCAACCAATGGTGCAGGGTGCATAGATCATCGTAATTACTCCAAATGAAAAAAGCAGGATCCACACTCACTTGAAAATGTAATGTTTTCTTGAATTTTTCATTATACAGGAAGCACAAATGGATCATCAGGATCATAAATATACATATTACAAAAAATATGTTCTTCACCTTTTGGTGGAAGTAATTTTTTTAAATGTATTTATTGTCATATTATGATATACAATAAACGTGACAATAAAATTTGTGTAACATTTTGCTGAACACTGTCACCGGTGGAAGTTATTTCTGTGCTCTGGTGACAGTGTTCAGCAGTCAGTGTCCGTTATAAACATTTGCAGTTCAGTAATGACTGTGTTTGTGTATTTGACCAGGTCATCGCGTGTGAGCAGCAGCTCGACTCCACGTATGACGAGCGCTGTGACGTGTGGTCTCTCGGGATCACGGCCATAGAGCTGGGTGATGGAGACCCGCCCCTGGCTGATCTTCATCCAATGAGAGCTCTCTTCAAAATTCCAAGGTGACCCGCCCTCATGTTTGTACGTTTGACACTTGTTGTACACAAACACTGATTTGCATGACTACTCTACACGATATTCAGATGATATTTAAAAAGACCTCACAGTCCACAAGGTCAGGTTTGTGTCAGTATATGGAATAATTAGTGATTTTAGCATGCAGGTGGATGGCACTGCTGTTTATTTGGGCCTTGGAGCTGTCAGAAGCCAGGCTGGTTTCAGTCAGATCTTTTTTTTGTTTCGTTTTTTAACGCTTTTTCTGTTATGATACGGAATATCTGTGGAAGTGTTACTAGTATCTGATTTCGCAGATAGGTCATTTCTGAATATAAAAATGTCGACACAATATAAAGTACTTGCTCTGGCTCTTGTTTTATATGATTTTTGTTCCGTTGCTGTGCATCGTGTTGTCTGTTGCTGTACAAGCAGGATGTGGAGGTTGGTAGGTGTGGAATTTGTCCTGCCTCTCCTCCACTGTGATTGGACGCAGAGGCGTCATTCCCTTTCAAAACAACGGGGCAAGTGCTCTTCAGATTTCTGAGCCAAGTGGATTTTAAATGCAGCTTTCAAGAGACAAAAATTGACTAATAATAATCAGTTGTGCCGAAGACAGACGCTCTCATTTGTTATGTATCAAAACTTGTTTTCAACCATTAATGTTTATTGAATGTTTCTCACACTAGCAAAATGAGTCATATCTCTTTTTACACATCTTCACAGCGTTGCGCATAATAACCAATCACACACGATTCTGTTGAGCTTATGAAAGCAATGGCTACATAAATGTTCTTTGCTCATTAATTAAAGTGTTATAATTAGCTTACAATGTTTTTATTAAATTCACATAAAATACAAAGTCAGTCTTATTAAAAATATTTTATGACATGACACCCATATTTGGTACTTAAATAACAAGACGAGTTATATGCGTAGTTAATAGCTTGCACTAACATCGCTCATTGCCCGCAGTAGATCAACTAGCATAACGATATAGTTATCAATTTTGGGAATATTTTGCCAAAAAAAAAAAAGGCTCACATCAGATATCCAGTGTGGCTACTGTGTATCAGAAGATACACTGGTGCCCCCTCAAAAACACTAAGTGCCTGGCGCCCCTGATTGGAGGGCGGACTAAAAAGTGACATGAGTGCGTTTTACCCAAAGTTGGACATTCTTCAGCGCCTCGTCACGCTTCTGCCGTTTTAAAAACTCTGCGCTCCCACTGAAAACAATTGAAAAAAAAAAAATGCACTAACATCTCTGAAGCTATTGGCAGATGTTATGATAGACAACATTCAATTGGACACTATTCAGAAGTTGTATGAATCTATTCTAAGAAGTTTGGAAGCTGTGTTAAGGCAAAGGTAACATTTTGTTTTGATGGTCCCCTTTAGACATTCTGTTCGCTGTAAGTAACTTTGCAACTACGTGTCAGCTACTAGTCATTAGAGTATTATCAGCTTTATATCTGCTAACATTTTATCCGCTTTTCCACTGTTAGTCCGAATGGCTTTAAAGGTCCCCTGAAATGCTTAGAAACACGCAGCGTTACTCTGTGTTGACGTCATTTTAACTGAAACAAGAAGACAGGGCGGGACATATGAAGCAGCCCCGCCCCTTTTTAAAATAGCCAATAGCGTTCGTTTATATCACAACTTGGGCTAGAGCCGTTGAGCGCCATAAAGCCGCATTTGACAGGGTATGCCAGCCACAATCTCATCCATATTGTTATAAAATATAGCATTCTGTGTAGAATTCAAATAGCTCCGATACATTTTGTGGTCTGCGCCGACTCGTGCATGTGATCCGCTCCGTGCTATCGTGTCTCTTGGCCGGAGCAGAGTGTGTGTGTGGTGCGGTGGTTAGCGTGACACAGCGCGAAACCAGACTTCTTTTTTTCCTCAATGGAAAGCATATTTACACTGTTTGAATCGTTCCCTGTCCCCTCTATAGTGCACTACGTGCCATTCACTGTACAGATTCTAATTCTGTGGACAAGTGACCGATTTC